ATGAGTTCTATTAGTTCCACAGACAGCTCTTTAAAATGCACAAATAAATTAATTATTTACAGACAGTCGTCAAAAAAGAACCACAAGATAACAAGTCTAGATATCAATAACTGACTGTTGATAACATGTTTACTTTGTTGTATATTTGTGTTTTGCATTACGTAGAGTGGATTGTTTAACACTATCAGAGTATTAATGAAGACATCAAAATTCTAGAATAACATCACACTTGCTAGTGGGTTTTAAATAATTTCCTGGGTCAAGCTTGACCACAGAAACAACTACATATAGGCAATAACTATCTTTTTGCGATAAGCCAATTGCAGACCGAAAAAAAACAAAAAAAACATTTCAATTACCCAAATGAAGTCTTAATTATCCAAAACGTGATGCTGAGATGACAAGACAGTCCGCGTAATTGTCTAAATTTGAGACTGCAATTGGATTTCATGCATAAATTGAATGCACAATGTAAACAAATGCTTCTGAACTTTTCAAAGGTGTTGGTAAAAGTGGTCACTTTTCAATACAAAAAACGAAAATAGATGCCTACAGTTAAATATAGAAATAATAATTGTTACATGCCACAGTACTTTAATAATGTACAGCTAATCTTCAGATAACCAGCTCCAACGACACAACTGAATTAGGCTTAACAGGCTGTAAATATTAATATTTTGTTACAAAATACACCACTATAATACACTCTAAGGGATTCTCTGTATATTTTTTCGAAATTTAGATTCGCTTGAACCATAAAACGAAATGGAACTGAACTAGTGAAATTACCGTCACTGGCTGAAGAGCTTACTGAGAAACCGAAAATATATTGATTCCTGAAAAAAAAACCCTTCTCGAAGTACTGATCACGTCAATATAGAATAGAGAGGCCGGCGTTACTAATGAAAAAGTTTACCGAGGCAGAATAATAACTTTCAAAAGAGCTTTAGGCAATTGAAAAATCAAGGTCAAATCGGAGATCCCATGAGTTACAGTCACACACGACTTATTTTAACATCATCGTCCGTGGAGATCACATGCCTTGTTAATGCTGGTCGATGGAAGTTTCACAAAATGGTCGAGTTCCCTTCCCCGGCACGAACTATTAACGGTTATAACAGTAAAGCAAAGACGCAAACGTTCCAATTATGGAGATAATGCTCCGACACGTTCATTTCATAAACGCCGGAGAAATTCAAATTAAACAAGTTAAAGCAGCTTAAAACAACAACATCCGCTTTTTGCTCAATTTAAACACACAAAGCAAGCGAAACCTGCAAGTGCACGAAAACATGCCCACCACAAAAGCATCAAACAAACATACCTAGCTACAACCGTGAAATTATTTTCTTACGGATCCTCGGAATGCTAAGGAATTCATACTAACCTTCCGAACCCCCTTGTAAATATAGAAGTACAATTCTCTTCCGACATTAAACGCAATCCGATCGTTGCAGCCACCTTGATCCTTCACTGTTACAAAGGACACGCGCACTGGATGGCACTGCTGGACAGAATATGGGATCTTGGTAGGTCGCGAATAAACCGACAGATCCAGCAATCGATAGCAGCCCTCTTTGGTGGCAAAGTGTTGCTTGATTTCTTGGTTTGCAGAGCCTCTTCCAGAGGCCATTTCGCTCAGAACACACACATCTTGAGGTACATGACGGCTCGGTCGCTTTCCCTTACTACTACGCATGCGGGCATCTCGGGTGATCTGCTCTCGACGAATGGGAATTTTAATCAGGTTATGTCCTCTTGGTTTAGCAGAGGATTAAAGTTATAACCTCTGTATTGAAGGTTTTCGCCTGACATTCTCCTCCAATCAGCTAAACCAGGAGAACGCAACTATAAAAGAGGGGTCATAAACAGTCTTCTTTCTCGTAATTTTCCTCGTCCCAAGCCCCTCTCTGCTTGGACACTTGCGATCAACGAAGGTGCCGCCGCAATGGTCCGAAAAATGCTTGGCTTCTCCTGGTAGAGTGGGACGAAAAAACATGGGCTTATATCCGTGAGGTTGAATTTGAGGGGTACAGGCCTCACACGAGATGAAGATATCTATATTTTTTGCTTTCTGTAGCTTACAGTATTCTTGCCTACTTCTTTTCCTAAGTATGCCAAGAGATTGTAGACAAACAAAACAAAATTTCATTTGAAGAGATGGAAACTAATTTTCTTCGATTTTGAGAGAGCATTGGAGTCTTTATCTGGCCACCTCAACCTGTTTAGGCACACCTTGAAAAAAAAAATTCCCATTTTATCCGTTGATGATTTTTTAAATCTTCTAACCTGAAAGCCCTCTCAACTGCCTTTAAAAACCAGGGTCGGCTGAGTTTAGAGCCAATGGGCAGAAAAGCAAGTGAGAAAACAAACTTTATTTACCCATATATCACCAATGAGTCGAAGGTTGTTAAAAATGGGCTATCAATAATCATATGTTAAAGAAAACACGTATATAGTGTATTTCTTTTAGCCGGTGACCTGAGTGACAGACAGCCTTTTCAGCCGGTATATGG